CGGTGGGCGGTGGGGACAAATCATTCATTCATTCAACCGCAGTCTCTCCCGCAGACACCTGCGCTGGACCCTGGGCGCATGGCGGTGAGCACCGCGGGCACGGCCTTGACCTCCCAGAGCTCATGGCCCCACAGTGAAGGTGGGAATGTGCAAGCCTACACCAAGAAGCAAGTAGACACTCCTCCCCCAGCACCGAACTTTCAGTCCTTTGGGGCCTTAGCTCGCACTGCACAGGTCTGAGAGGAACGGCAGGAACGGAGAAGCTGAGACCCTGATACACAGGGGGAGACTGAGGCAGAGAGGCCCTGGCTGAGGCGAAGCCACTGGGTAAGAATTTGGAGAGGGAGTGTGTGACGCATGCGAGGCTTCAGACCCACGGGCAGAGGCCACCGGGTCCCCACTGTTTGGACAGATGGCCTTCTCTGGGCCGTGGCCGAGGTTAATGCTATTCCCATTGTCCGGGATCCAGACCCGCCCAGCAGTAACAGGATCCCCGCTCTCTGCCACCCAAGCTCCTCCCTGCCATCAAGCCTCAAGATCTAGAGGACAAGAGGGAGGGGGAAGCCAGGCGTGGTGGTGCACGCCTGTAATCCCAGCACTCCGGAGGCTGAGGCAGGAGGATCGCTTTGAGTTATATACAGTGAGTTCCAGGTCAGTCTCAACTACATAGTGAGACCCTGTCTCAAAAAACCAAAAAAGTACATAAATAAATAAAAGAGGGAGGGGGACCCTGGGACCAGCACCTGCCCCACCCCAAGACCTGGGTCTCACTGCAACCTCCAAAGCCCTGTGCCAAAGCCAGCACATCTTTATTTGCTTTCAGTGGGTGGGGAAACTGAGGCTCAGAAAATCCCAGGGGCAAAAGAAGGAGGTGTCCCAGGACGCCACCAAGAAAAACTGGATTTAAATGCACAAGAGCTCAATCTGCCTTTGTAGAAAAGCCTTTCTTTTTTGACATTGTTTTAGAGTCAGCCCAGGGCCTTTGTACTGAGCTATATCCCCAGCCCTTTTCATTCTGAGACAAGATTTCACTAAATTGCCCAGCCTGGGCTGGCACGTGACAATCCTGCCTCAGCCTCCCAGAGGGCTGGAGATACAGGCGTGAACCACCACACCCTGCTGAAATGTCATTGTTATGTGGTGCTGTTGGCCCATCTCTCAGATAAGGAAACTGTCTCCCAGAGGTTCTCAGACTCAGCAGCTGACCGAGAGGGGAGAGAAACCCGGAAGGGCTGACTCCAAAGCCCGCCCACCTGTCCTTCCATCCCCACCTTGGCTGCGAGTCTCTGCTTCCTCTGAACCTCACACAGCCTGCACCTGAGGAGACCCCTCTCTTCCTGGCCTGCAGATGGGGCTGGAGCTCAGGCCCCTGGGACAGGGGTCCAGGAGTGCAGTGCATGGCTAACACTGGGCCAGGGTGGAAGCCAGGCCGGCACCCGGCGCCCTCCCGTGCTGCCTGTGGCTGGGCTCAGTAGGGGCCCTGTGCCTCCCTCTGTCCCTTCCGCAGCAGCCGGGGGCAGGCAGTGTGGTTGCCGGCCTGGGCACAGCCCACAGGCCCAGGTGCCGGAGAAACCCTTCCGTTTGACGACCATCTGCAGCGGTGTGGACTTCCGCCCAGCCTCTCCATCCACAAACTGGAGCTAAAGCGAGGTACAGCGTGACAGAGCGTCTGTACACCAGTCAGTGTTCATCTTGTTCTGCACTGGGGACTGAAGGAGTGGCGGGGCACTCGGGCAGTGACCGGCATGGGTGCAGTTCCACCGGGGGGAGTGGGGGAAGCTCCAGGAGCAGATGGCACAGGGCCTGGCTCGGGCAGGAATTACCATCACAAGCAGAGTAATGAGCTCACACCGGCCAGCTCTGCAGTACACAATCAGCCCAGGTGCCCAGGGGAGGCCGGCCGGCCTGGCATTTGAATATGAAAGGGTGAGAAACAAAACAGCTCTCTGGAGTGGGGTAGGGAGGGAGGTTGCTTTGCACAACCAGGCCGGGTGTCGAGGATACACACACACAGAGACATGTACGCATAGCCATAAGATACAAGTGTCCACAAAGCAAAACACATGCACGCCCATGCACATAACACACACCAAGCACAATTCCATTTTGCCAGCACATTTGCGTGGTGACTGCCCTAAGACAATAGAGTAATGCTCAACCCACTCCCTCAGATGTTTTAGAAAGCTTTCGAAAGACTTTTTTTAATCTCTTGAATTGGTTTTTTTTTTTTTTTTTTTTTTTTTTATTTTTTTTTTTTTTTTTTTTTTGAGACACATCTTGCTATATTCTTCAGGCTGTCCTTGAACTCACTACATAGCCCAGGCTGACCCTTCTGCCTCAGCCTCCCAAGTGCTGGAATTACAGGTACGTAGCACCATAGCTGTCCTATTTATTTATAGGACATATAGCTGGCTTTTATTTATTTATTTATTTATAGCCTCGTTCTCATAGAAATTTTATATTGAGCAATTTGGGTAACACCCATCATTCCCCAGGAGTTTTCAATGCTAGCAGGAGGCAGAGTCCAGGGGTTTTCTGCACATCTCCACCCTCCCTTTGTCCTCCATAATAGAGAATCCTCAGGTTCTCTGGGAACCCGGCTGCCCTGCCATTCCCAGGAGACTACATCTCCCAGCTTCCCTTGCAGCTAAGCATGGGCCTTCGAGTCTATCCTAGCCAATGGGAGGTGAGCAAAGAGATGCATGCCACTTTCATTCCAGGATAAGATGGGGCGGGCCTTCCCCTGCCCTTCTCTCTTCTCCCCTGGCTGGAGGAGGGGAAGAGGAGCACGGAAGCAGCCACCTCAAACTCAGCACAGAGGTCCTGGGATGACAGCATCCCCTCTCAGCCCTGGACATCTTGCTGGGTGTAAAGCAGAAGGAGTAAATCTCTGCCTTCCCATGATTTCCATCATACTCGTTTTGCGTTGCTGAAGCCACTGAGGTGGGTCTCGTCACAGCAGCTAAGCCCACATCCGCTGAGACACAGCCAAGGGGACACACAGGGTCCCTGGAGGACCACATTCTTCAGAGGTCGAGGAAAGGCCCCGCTGTCTGTCCCCAGCTCAGGCCCAGTCACGTACAAGGCGCCTGGAGACATTTTCGGAAGGAATAAGGAAGGGAGAGGTAGGGAAGGCAGAGCTCTCCTCCCCCTGGACCTACAAGTCCGGACGCCTCTGTTCCTCTCCCCTTGAAGCAACATGAATCCTTCGTGTCCAGACTCAACAGCAAACGTGTTCGTGTGTCTCTTCCACCGCGTCGAACAGCACCCTGGCCACCTGCAGCCCCAGGACACATTCTGGGAGGTCACTCTTGTCTCCTTCGTCTCCTGTAACCCTCCTCAAATCGTCATTGATTTTGCTTTCTAATTGTCCCCAACCCCTGACTTCCCACTGGCTACACTGCCGTGTGATTTACCCCTAGCCACCACCCTCTCATGCAGGGCTCTTGACCACCCTGCCTCCAGTGTTACTTCCCCCACTGTCTCTGCTCCACTCAACAGCAACAGCAGCCTTTTATCTGTAATCTCAGCACCCAGTGAGGCTGGGGCAGGAGGATCTCCATGTGATGAAGGCCAGTCTGGGCTATGTAGCAAGACCACGTCTCAAAATAAAATAATAGTTTTTTTTTAGAACTATGAGCTGAAAAAAACCTGTTTTCTTTATAATGTATTCACCCCCCACTCCAATTTCATTACAGTCACCGAAAAGAAAGATGATAATGGAATCAGAATAAAGCCCCTGAGGGAGAAGTCAGCGTAGACTTGCTAAGGCAAAGACAGAAAGTCAGTACAGTAGAGGACAAAGGGCAGAGAAAGAGGAGAGAGAGTCATGAGCCGGAAGCAGCGAGGAGACCTGTGTGAGTTTCCCACTGGAGAGTAACCTGATTGCTGAAGGTCACCCAGGCTCGGAGGGGCCAGGCAGGCGTGAGTGTGGGTATCGTCAGTGACGTCCATGCTGACACAGAGCCCCCAAATCACGGCAGATTAAAAACCACCACGCTTTACCTCCGCCGTGTCACTGTCCGAGCCAGGTGCCCTGAGGCTCAGAGCCACGCCGTCCCTCAGGGACTCAGGTCCTCCCTGTAGCTCCACCTTGGATGTGTGCCCATCGGGGTCACCTTGCTGGGTGCCGTCCGGCCAGGAATCAAGGCAGGGAGCGTGGGGAGCTGGATGTGGGGTGTCTGAGCCAGGCCCTCTGCCCACATTCCTTTGGCTACAACTCAGTCGCGCTGCCCCAGCGGGCTGCTAGGAGCTGTGAATGTGCTCGCGCAGGGCCCACAAGGAAAGGCTGTGACAGGGCTGACACCATGCACGACGAATCTCTGCCACCGTTCACCCCTTGGCACCACATGTCCACGAGTGGCCTCCATCCCACGCCTAAGGAAAACTCGTCCTGTCCCCCAGGGGAAACCTGAAGTCCCCTCAGCCACTGTATGGTCCAGTGGCCCACAGACTGCGGAGAAGGTGTGTGTGTGGCCACCTCACCCCTACACAGGTGCGCGTGGACAGGGCACGATGACGGAGCAGGGGAAAGCACCCCGGTGGGAACCGCCGCCCTGCAAAAGTGAGCACGGCAGCCACCCGCTGCAATGCCTCAGAGGGCAGAGACCCGGAGCCTTCCCACCCTGCAGCAATAGCTGCCCCAGCTGTCCACAGACAGACCACGCACAGGTGGCCATCTTGGACCACACCTGGCAGGGGCCAAGACGCAGTCACACTGCATGTGGGCCCACAGGTTGTGCCTGTCGCATGCCCGGTGCCGGGAGGACTCCAGGCTTCCGATGTGGGTTCTGACTTCTGCCCCGGGCCCTCTGCCTAGATACCTCCACCTGCCCAGGACCTGGGTTCTGATCCATGGCTGGGACAGTTCCCCGGCCCTGGGCAGAAACAGCAAGTCCCCACCATGTGCCACCTCTGTGGTCCACACGGACCCCTGGAGCAGGTGACTTTCCATTACAAGACTTCTTCCCAGCCTGGAAGAAACATCAGAGCCCTCTCACCCCTGCCTCGCATGCTCAGGAACGCATCTTCACCCAGCTGTGGCTGCCACGTTGGCCCTACACGGGTGTAGGCCTCACAGGAGGCCCGATGAGGTCTCGTGGGCTTTGTGAAGTCACACCTGGGTCACGGAAGACCCCTGTGCCACACAGACACACAGGCAAACCCAGAAGAGCCAGGAATGATGCTCTGCTTCCCAGGGACTCAAGCCAGCAGCAATGGCCCCTCCTCTGTGCCTGCGGGACAGTTCTGGGCACCTCCGTGCCCTTCACCGATCCCCTCAGGCAGAAGTCCCCATGCCCACAGCAGTAACTGGCTGGGTTCCCCTTTCCCTGCCCCGCTCTCTCCAACCTTCCACTCCTGGCCCCTAGGACTGTAGCTCAAATAAACTAGCAGGTTGTTTTTTTGTTTTTTTGTTTTTTTTTTGGACCGGGGATCGAACTCCAACCCTTGTAGTTGCAAGGCAGGTGGTGGAACCACTGAGCTAAATCCCCAGCCCAACAGGTAGCTCTTTCAGGACAGAGGCCCTGTAAACCCACAGAAAACTGTAGTCTTCTGTGTATAGCCGAAAGACTAGAATCCCAGCATTTGGGTGGCCGAGGCAGGAGAATCATAAGTTTGAGCCCAGCCTGGGCAACTTAGCAAGATCCTGCGTCAAAAATGTTAGTGTGGAGGGATGAAGGCCCTGGGTTCGACCCCCGAAACTGCAAAGAAAGACCAGAAAGAAGGGCCAAACCCTGGAAGCCCCAGACCCAGCCCAATGCAGAGGCCAGGCCATACTGGCTTTAATGCCTTTCCCAGCCCCAAGCTCCATCTGTGGGGATGTGTGTGTCCCAGAACAGGGGGACAACGAGAAGACCAGATCTCAGCGCAGCCTTCCAAGGCCCGGCCAGGCTGTCTCCCCAAACCCGAGTCTCACCAACTTCCAGGGCGATTTCTCCTGCCCTGAGCTGACCGAATCCCACCCTAAAACTCAGGGACCTCGGACGCTGTATGCGGGGTCTCTGCACGGGTGGCAGAGCTAAAACAGGGGCATCTGAGCAGCCCCTGGTGTCCTCATCAGAAAAGGAAACTCGGGCGGAAACGCGGAGGGACCACCGCGGGGAGGCATCCGGAGAAGGCGGCCACAGAGCGCCTCAGAGAAAACCACTGACGGGTGACATACAACGTGTGGTTCAGTGGGGACCCTTTTGTCTGTCCTGTGTCCCTACAAACAAGGCCTCACTGTCAGCTGGCCACGAGGGGAGAATCCAGAAAAGGTACTGCATATGCAAATGGCATGTAAATGAGCCACTTCTAAGCCCAGGGCACCCTTTGAGGGGTTGCTGTAGGGAATAGAGGAAAAATGCCTGTGAGTGGCCCGGCAACTGTTGGCATGGAAACCAGGCTTCCAGGGGCTTAAGGAGACTTCAGACCTGCCCAGGACCAACTATGCGAAACATCCTCTCTCGCAATCTTGCCCGCTCTCGAAGCCACCACTTCACAGCAGGACACCGCTCCGGCCACTGGAGACCAACTTCAGACTGCGGGCACAGCGCGATCCCAGAGATTCGAGTCGAAAGAAACACAAACCAGAGCTGCAGGGCTACAGCCCAGTCGTCTCGTGGCCGGAGCTGTGCTGGGGGCTGCCTGCCAGCACCTCTGGGCCTGCCATCCGTGTCAGGGAAATGGCTCTGTCCGCGGCGCTCTGTGGCTGTTCACCGGGCCGCCCAGGCCAGGAACCTGTCCAGCACATAACAAGTGTTCAACAAACACCCTCCTATCCGAAGAGGGACAAGTTCTCCGCAGCTCAGGATCTCAGGTGCTGATTTTATTTGTGTTCCAGGTGAAATCAAACAAGTTAAAGCAGAGCTCGAAATCTGAAGATTCCACCGTAAGGGGGAGAAAAGCACCTCTGCAACAGCAGATCCCGGGAGCTGGGGCAGCTACCGGTGAGACTGTTACCCCTCCGGGACAAGTCTCGACTCCTCCGCGTTATGGAAACCCGAAGGATTGCTTTGCCACCCAAAATTTATGGCCCCCAAATCATTCCTAACAGACAGCGTGCATTCCCCACGGGCTGTCCGGCTGGGGTAACAGCTCCTCTCTCCAGGGGCTGAGCGTTGGGGTGGGTGGGGGGCGTCTGCCCTGTGGGACAGGGGAGGTCCCGGCCCTCTGAATGTCGCTGTCTCCCCAGCTCCAGGGAGCCCAGGCCGTGGGCCCCACCCTGTGCTTTGCTCTCAAATGTGAGCCACCAGGAGGCCCGGTGCCTGGGCCCACGGCCCACACTCCCACCCATCTTCTGAGCTGCTATGGCCCCGAGTCCCCTGGGGCAGGGCCGTCACCAAGGAAAGTATTTCTCCAGACCCCAAAAGGAGGGGCATCCTCATCGGAAGTGACTTCCGAGAGGGAATGGGGCCCCAGCCTCAAGGGCCTCCATGGCTCCCCATCGCTGCAGCTTGATCTGAGGCCCTGCCCAACACCCCTGGGCCCCCCAACTGCCCACCGTCTGCTGCACACCCCCACATGAACACTCCCTTTGCAGTCCTGGGAATGGACCTCAGGGCCTTTGCACTGAGCTGCCTCCACACCCTTTTTCATTTTGTATTTTGAGATAGGGTCTCTGAAAGCTGCCCAGGCTGGTCTCCAGCTTGTGACCCTCCTGCCTCAGCCTCCTAGAGTGCTGGGATCACCACAGGCATGTGCCACCCCTCCCAGTCACCCAGAATCCTGTAAATCCCACCACCACCCTGGTGTAGAGCGAAGGGAAAGAGGGGCCACAGAAATGAGGCCAGAGAGGCTAAGCACAGTCACAGGGCTTGGCCCTAGGCCCTGCTGCGTCCTTCAGGACACCGGTGGGCAGGGCGCTGGGGCTGGAGAACCTGTCCTCCACTGAGGGGTGCCGGCCCCCACCAGCCTGCAGCTAGCAGAGCAATACCACCATGGCCCAATCTTCTGATTTCTCCAGAGAGGGTGGCAAGCAGGCCTCCTGTGGGAACCCGACCTGGGAGCTCACGAGACACAGTGAGGAGCAGGGAGAAAACAGCCCGGGGCTGACCTGGGCCCCAGGCCGCGGGCAGTGTCCAGGCTCCTGAGGGCCAGCGGCTGTCATGGGCCTGCCAGGCAGAGCTGCATCTGCGGGCCACAGGGTGCCCACCCACGACGGGGAGACCAGGAGAAGATGCTCTTTCTGCCCCCATCTTTGGGAAGATGATAAAGCCATGGGTTAAGCAAGAACCAAACAGTACGAGAAGGCACAGGTCCCCTCTGGCCCCAGTAGGGCTGCCTGGACTGAGCCGGACAGGGGACCGGACCCCTGGGGTCACAGCCCCCCCACACACACATCCCCCTCTGGAGCTTGGGGTTTCGCTGTCCAGATGGGAAGACTGAGACCCGCAGCCCAGGAGCAGCAGCCCTGGGCAGAGAAGAGACCAGCGACCCTGCGGTGTCCCCACAGGCGGGCTGCACCCCTGCCTCTCTGCTCCTTTTGAAGTTCAAAGAACCGACCTCGCCTCCAGAGCACGCATAAATCTGGCAGGAGAAAGGAAACTGTCCTCACCTGCTGAGTTATGGTGGCTGCGGCCAGACAGCCCGCACCCCAAGACTGCGGCCCCACCCAAGCCTGCCCCTCCCCTTGCTGCCAGCTCCTCTGTCCCCTGCCTGGTTCTCAGGGTTCCTGGCTGGAGGCCGCTCTACACCTTCTCTGTTGAGGGGTGGGTTGGCATGTGCTTGAATACTTCCCGTGACGGGGAGCTCACTCCAGCCCTGCCCACTCTGACCTGGACCAAGCTCTCCCGCCAGTGTGGGATTTGGGGGTGGCTTCCTGTGACACTCCCATTTCACTCTAGGTCACCTCCTCCTCCCCGCACCCCAAGAGAACTCTGCAGAGATGGGAGAGCGACCATTGTGGGGATCCCGGTGTCTCCAAGGGTGCCTGCGCAGGGCCCCAAGGGTGTGTTTCTGTGCAGGTGTGCGGCCATGTGTGAGCAGTGCACGCGTGTGGACCCGGGCAGGGTGTCCGAGACCACGGGCGGTGGGCTGTGACCCACCCGGGAGACAGCTGTAGGGCAGCAAGGCCCCTCCCGGTGCGGCTGGAGAAGGTGGCACAGGGCGGTGAAGTCCAGACAAGGCAGGGTCAGCGCTGGGGCTCAGGGCCAGCACAGAACAGAGGCAACAGCGGCTGGGACCACGGCCCAGGCCTGCTGCCGACACGGCGCAGCCCTCGCGCCTGTGCCAAGGCCAAGGTCCCTCCTGTGGGACCCTGGGGGCCGCTCAGGGCCTGGCCCGCTCCCTCTCCATCCGGGCCCTTCGTCTCCATGAGAACCATCTTTCAGGCCCTGCCACCTCCCACCTGGGCCTCACATGGCCCTCGACTGGGCCCTGACCTGTGATCTGGGTCCTGTCCCTTCATCTCTCTGTCACCCAGCAGACTCCCCACAGCCGTCACTCGTGGTGCTGTCTGGCCTTTTTTTGTTTGGGGTTTTTTGAACCAGGGTGGCACTATGTAGCCCAGGCCGGCCTGGGACTGACGGTGATCCTCCTGTCTCTGCCTCTTGGATGCTAGGATGACAAGAGTCCTCCACCACTCCCGGCTCCTTATTTCTTTTTCTTTCTTTCTTTTTTGTCGTGGGGACTGAGCCCCCAGTCTTCGCACTGAGTTACATCCCCAACCCTTTTCAAAACTTTTCATTATGCTGTGGGCCTCACCCAGCTGCCCAGGCTGGGCCCCTAATCACTTTTGGGGCAATTCAGCCACAACCTGCTGACCATGAGCCGGAGGCAGCTGGCTCCCTGCAGACCTGGGAGCCCCACGTGGGCTGCCACTGAGTCACAGTGCAGTTGTAGCCCCAGAGGGGCAACAAAGTCCCTCGCTGCGACGTGGATTTATGGCTGGCAATAGCCTCGGAGGGCCGGGGATTCAGCTCAGTGGTTCCACGCCTGCCCCTCGCAAGTGCAAGGTCCCGAGTTCAATCCCCAGTATCAAAAAAAAAAAAAGCCTCAGGACATGGGCAGCTCCAGAACAAGCTCAGAGTGCAAGGCGTTGATCCACCGCTTGGCTTCCTCCTCCCCTCCGTCCTCACCCCGGCTTGAAGGGAATTCCATTCACAGGACCCAGGAAAGTCACGGCCC